TGTACCTTCTGTGTACCTGAAAAATTGGATAATGTGCACAACAATTGTGGTTCAATAGGTAAATAATAAAAATATTAAATGAATATTGTTTTTATTCCTTTATCCTAAAATAAAATCTATGACTCTATGGATAGGTAAAAGAAATGTTACGAAAATTCCCTTCTTAACTTCCACGACGTCGGCTGGGCGGTTACTCTGGAAGCAAGCAGGGCCTGGTGTTAGGCCGGTGTTCTGAGATCCGTTGTGGTGCTGTTCTGCAGCTGGTGATGTTGGTCTTCCTACAGGAAGAAAGGGATATTTCCGTTGTTAAATTCGTTCTACAAAACTTAAGTGGGTTTGTGCTCTAAATCTTGAGTTTTTTTTTTTTTGTCAGAGTGTACTAATGTTGGCCTAGGTGGATCTAGGCGGATCTAGGTAGGCCTTGTTGTTGTTAGGCCTGCAAACATTCCAGGGGTCAGTTCCCAACAAACACCGAAAGAAGAAAGGAAAAGAAATAATCGTGTAATTGGGGAATAAACAGAGAAATAGTGCTCTCGTAACTTAAAAATAAATATAAAAAAACATACTGGCTAACCGACCGCTGGCGGTGCTTGCATTTGTTGAAAAGAAAACCGTCTTCCGGCGGCATGGTCTTCTTCATACAGGAAAACCGCCGCAAATCTAAACTGATTTGTTTGCTATTAGTGAAATATACCTCCCACCACAGTAATAACAAATGATTAGTGTTGTCCTCGATACGCAAGTTTTTTCCGGCGGCATTTAAAACAGTAGACCGTCGTCCGGCGGCCTTATGAATACTCTGATAGCCTGCCGCCCTCATCAACAAATCAGTTTAGATTTTCGGCAGCTTTCTTATATATGAGAAGACCATGCCGCCGGAAGACGGTTTTCGTGTTATTAAATTCAACTACCGCCGGCGGTTGGCTAGCCAGTACGATAAAAAAATGTACATAGAGTGGAATATACACATACTTTGATTACTATACGAGTAAAGAGAGAGGTCCGACACCACATACTTTGATTACTATACGAGGCAAGAGAGAGGTCTGAAATGCCCAACATAGGGCGCGGCCATTTTGAACCCTGTGACACAGTTTACAGCTAAAGAATCAGATCACTCACTCTGCGTCGGCACTTTGGATCTCAAATCACTCACTCTGCGTCGGCACTTTGGATCTCAATGTTTCAGTTTATACACTGTGCAACTCGGATAATACAATATATGACAACCGCCTATAATAAAACAGCAGTCTTCTGCATATCCTGAATTTGTATCCCTGGAGTGGATGTTATTTTGGAACTTTCAACTGGTCCGAGTGAGCTAACTGATTCTTTAGCAATAAACTGTGACTTCAAAAATAATTAGGCATTCCAAACAGAATGGCTACCATTGGGTTTTGACGGGTTATGATATGGAAAAATTATGGCAATCCTGTAGGCCTGGTGATTTGACAAGGTCAATGAAATAGATAGTTACATAGATTGATCATCCATATTTTTAAAAATAAACATAAGCTTATGCCTTGAAGTAAAAATGTAAGCAATTATTTTTTTTAAATATCTAAAGGTTAAAAATTGGTTTTAAAACACATTTTTGCTAAAACGGTTCAAATTAATAAATATTTGCCAGGCAATATGGCCGCTCGTAAACGATCAGCTTTGAGCAATCTATATAACTATATATGTATCATTGACCCTGTTAATGACAACATGACAACAGGGTTGCCATATCTAAACTGTCATTACCCACTGGTAGCCATTTGGACAGGTCGTTGGAATGCCTAATATTCACTGACAATGACAGCAGCAAGCAAAATATCAGGTGCGTTTTAATCATCCGCTTCTGCTTCCGGAATTGTCGGTTTAGTCGTTTTAACCTGTCAGATTAAAACAAGAAAAGCGACAATTCCGAAGCAGAAGCGGATGATTAAAACGCACCTATTAAAAATATTGCGCCAAGATGTAGGCAACACGTAATAACGGTTCAAAATGGCGGAGTTTTCTATCTCCTTTTAAAAGGCACTCAGAAAGCTGCGCAGTGCGACCATTCTCCGTATAGTAAAAGAAAATCAAAGTATGTGGGAATATATCTTGGGGTAAAAAAATGAGAATTTACTACTGGCGTTTACGATAATTTCTACCAATGTTGTAGTTTACAATAATTTATATAAGTGACTTTCAATATTTAAATGAGAATTATTGCATAATTCAGTTTAATTTACCATGTGATGCAAAGAATTAAAACTAATATTTTGAAATATATATTTATTGATAAAATGTGTAGTTAAAAATTGTTTTGTGATGAGCCACTCTCTTTCAAATATTTAAAAAAAACGCAGTTTAACTACAAAGCAAACTTTGAATCGAATGAAAGATAAAAGATATTTTACAGTCTCGTAAATTCTGAGATTTTAAACATAATTATTAAAGTTAATTTACATATCACCGGATATATTACCAAAGAAAGATAAAAACTACGATGTTGTCTTCTTTTTTTTTTAGTTCTACTACTTCCATTTGTTAATAAGGACAAATATACGAAAATATATTAGCAGAAGCAATTTTATGAAAGATTAATGATAAGATTAAAGTTAAAAAAAAAAGTGGCAGAAGCAACTACGAATAATATTATTCGCTTACCCAGTGAATTCGAAAGAAAGATATCTCGAACCAATTTTGGTAGAGAATTTAGGTTTCCCCCACTTGTTCGGTCAAATCGATCACGTATCTGTCAGAATTCTTTATTTTTTAGAATATTTAGATTCAAAATTTAATTTTTGAAGATTGTGTTACAAGGGGATGGTAAAATTTACCGTAACAAAAGATCTCTTGATTTTTTCATAAAGTTAATATTTATGGAGATATTCTCAATAACAAACTCATTAAACCCATAAAAACAAAATTTTCAGACGTATAAACGTATTTTTTTCTGAAATTTAAACCATTTTGTAACTTAAGTCATATTTTCAACTATTAATTCAATTATTTGTTGTCTGTAATTTTATTTAAAAATTGAATAGTACAAATTCATTCATTAAAAACAGTTTTATTAATTTGAAAATTCAAGAAAACTGTCTTTTGTATTTTTTACATTTTTAGCTCTATAGTCATCTAAGATTTAAATAATGAATTGTTTCATCCTTTGTAAACTTATCATTATACTCTTGTAATATCTCTGGCAATATCACCGATTCAGACATCGTACAAGTCAGTAAAAAATTAAGCAATAAAATGACCTCTGGCTCTGATGACATCCCCTCATTTTTTGTTAAAGACTGTATTTATGTACTAGCCTATCCATTAAACATAATATTTAATTTAGCATTAAAATCAGAGATCTTCCCAGAGCGGTTGAAAGAGGCAAGAATTATTCCTGTTTTTAAATCAGGTGATAAGACACAAATCAAAAACTATCGGCCTGTATGTATTCTGTCAAATCTATCGAAAATCTTTGAGATTGTCATTTATAATCACATATATTCTTCAGTCCACAACCTAATATCGCCTTCGCAGCATGGTTTCTTAAACAAAAAGTCTACAGAAACTAATTTACTTGTAATAACTCAGCACTTATCTGAAGCGGTTGATGCAAGTAGGAAAGTGGACGTTATTTACACTGAATTCTCAAAGGTTTTTACAAAATGGATTATGGGATATTGATTGATAAATTGAACCAATTTGGCTTTTCTCAAACCTTAATAAGGTTCTGTATGTCATACCTTCTGGAAAGGCAGCAATGTATCTTTCATAACGGTCATTTGTCACAGGTGTACTTTGCAAAATCAGACGCCCCTGAAGGTTCTAACCTTGCACCATTGCTATTTTTGTTATTTATTAATGATCTCGATCACCGTTTAAACTCTTGTAGACTCATTTATGCAGATGACTTTAAGATATACCTCTCAGTATTAGATATGTATGACTGTTTAGCGTTTCAGCAGGACCTAGATATATTGTCAGATGGTTCATGCAAAATAGGTTAATGTTAAATGCATCGAAGTGTAAAGTGATGGCATACACTAGAAAAAGATCAACTACAGATTTTTATTATAATATTAATGGTTTGGTATTGTCACGTTTTTCCTTAATCACTGATCTGGGTATCACTTTCGACTCAAGGCTGAGTTTTGTTGAACACATTATTATGAAGGTTTCTAACGCAAAAAAAATGTATGGTTTTGTTATACAAAACTGTCGTGGGTTCAAGGACATTGGAGCATTAAAGACTTTATAATATTCATACAACCGCACTAAGCTTGAGTACTGTTCAGCTATCTGGTATCCTTATTATAATGTTCAGATAACTAGTGTTGAATATGTTTAAAGGAAGTTTTTGAAATACTTATCATTCAAAGTAAATGGTGTCTATCCGCCAAGAGGAATTGATTATCAGCTACGTTTGGACAGTTTTAACATGGAAAGTCTTGCGTTTCGGAGAATTCTAGCTTAATTGACTTGTTTACATAAAATCATGAATGGGTTAATTGACTGTCCTGCTATCTTGGCTAAAATTCATTTAAACGTTTTACAGTATTATAACAGACATCATTTAACTTTTTACTGTAATAGATCTAGAACAAAAATTCTATTAAGCTCACCTCTCAAGTATTAAAGCAATTGCTTGTAACTATTATGACAATGCTTGAGTTTTTTATTTTATTCTATTTTATATTTTTTTTTATTGATTTTTTATTTTCAGTTTTTATGTGATACTTTTTATTTTATAATTCTATATTTATCATGTCACCTTTACTAGTTATATTGTTAATAGTTTATTAGGTTGCTCTGTAAAGGGATTTATATATTATATATATTATTATTATTATTACTATTATTATCAATTTTACACATCTTTCAGCAACATCGTTTACAACTGACAAATTTGCTACAATATACAAACAGATTTGATAATTTATATTTTCCGCAATTAGCTTTTAACCAACTTGTGTTTAAATTAAATTAACGAAAGAAACTCATAGACGAAGGAATAATTAACTGTT